CCATGCCATGCCATGCCATGCCATGCCATGCCATGCCATGCCATGACATGACATGACATGACATGACATGACATGACATGACATGACATGACATGACATGACATGACATGGGGGGAGGCATCTATAACTATAATGAGAAGGGAATGCTGAGTATGTTCTTAGTACAATAAGGACTACCAGGGGATTGTTTTACCAATTTGTGCTGACCCATGTACTAAGTTTTGACAGATAATTAAGCGTCGCTGTAGTGACCTGAGCAGTGCAATTCCGGAAGGCTCCCGACACGACAACTTCCAAGAAGTGATGCTGCATCCCAGGGTGAAGACTGAAATATCAGATCCCCCACTCCGCTCTCCCCTTGCAGAAATTCACCCCTTAGAATCTTTAATATCAGGGGGAGGACGGCCCTTAGCTCGTAGCACCTTAAGCCCAAACCTCTGCCCCAAGCCCCATGAGCCTTGTAGTATCACATTGAAGCACGGAGCCCGAAGCCCTGCACCCGAAATCCTGACAATTCCCAGTTCTTTAACAATTCTTGTATTCCTGTCCCTGGAATATCTAATTTCCACGGGGTTGGTACGACGGAAATGATTGCACCCCGCAGTCCAAGTCCCAGGCCTCAACGTGCAAGCCGCTGATCTATTTCGGTTTGGTGTGCTAAGCCCAACCATCTTCAGACCTCTCGCCTGTCACCCTCAAACCTCACAGCCGCGAGCCTCTCGCAAAACAAACACGCATGCAACTAAATCCTAGCCCCAAAACCTCAAATCCAAAAACGTAAACCCTAAACTGCTTGACTCAGACGCAAGCTCTCTAGACGCTGAGTGCAGTCGTCCAGGCACACCTGGCCATCACCGCATACAAAATGCGATAGCTATCCGACAACAGGGTTTAGGGTGTAGAGTTTAGAGTTTGGGGTCTACGGCTTGCCGACGATTCCACACTGCTGCATGGCTAGGTATCATCACTGGCATCAGGACTGACTAACATTCAGCTCAACATCGCTGCTTCTCTCGTACCTATGACAAATCTGGGCCTGAATTTTCAAAATGCTGGCTTTTTTTTTTTTTTTAGGGGGGGGGGNNGAGTTCATAATAAGGAACCCTAGAAAAGAGGAGTTCATAATCAGGAACCCTAGAAAATAATGTTATCAACCAAACCCTAGACCCTAAACTTTAGCCCGACAAAAGCCAGGCTTCTGACATTAGGGCCCTTGATGGTCTCGCATTGGCTTGACCTATGAGAAGTGGAACAACGATAGCAAAGTTCACCAATGATATGCTCAACATTTATGGCTTATAAACATATTGATATATACATATGAATCGTAAAGTTGCCGTGGGTCGCGCGGACGTCACATGAAAAGATATCTTTGCTTTGCTGTGCTAAGATTTGTAGTGCGAGTTTCATCTGGCGCGAACTTGCGCGGTCTAGCCGCCGAAGCCAGACATAAGTGCCGATTCTTTCCCAGACATATGACATAAATCACTCTCAAGTTTATGCTTCAGCCACCCCTATCCTGTCAGAGCTTCAGATGTAACAACTGCCATGTGAATCCAAGAACTAAGCAGTCCATTGATGAGGTGCAGGCCGTCAAGTGCAATACCCTGTGAGGGATGCGCGACAATGTTCAAGCTCCGAGGAAGGCAGTATGCAGTGGTATGCAGTCTGTTCTGAGTGTCTCGGACTCGGATCTCTCTAATGAAGTTGCCGTGCTATGAGCGCTGAGCTCATCAATCTACTGCCTAGACCCGAGGTCAGTGCGCGAGACTCCATACTTCGTTCCGCAGAAACCACATCCAAGCAATATGACTTGAGCACACGCCACGGCCTAGCCTTTGGTGGTTTAGGGCTTTCATTTTCTTCAACGGTTTTGACCGGGTCTTCGGTTCCTCACCTTCCCCACAAACAACTCAGAACCACAATCTCCGATTCACGGAAGGTAGTTATGTTGAAGGCCTAACTGCTTACACAGCCTACAAGGCAAATAATATGGCCTTTGCTTCTGTTGTTGAGGCTTGAGCTATCGGAGACTCAGCGACGCTTGCCTGCTCCAGCACTGCCCATTCCTGCAGCAAGGGTGTGCTGTAAGCATGCGTGGGCATAGACTCAATCAGGAATGCCCCTCAAGCGAATGATTCGATGTCAATCTGTTCTCTGATCAGAGGGCCTCTTTAAAGAAATATGGGCGTATTCAAGCAAAGCGCAGATGCAGAGCAATCATCCTGTGCAGAGACAAATTCTTCCACGGCCAAGACTTGTTTTGACTCGATACAGCGCAGCCCGTCCAGAAGATTTTGCACACAACCATGTCGGTGCTTCACAGAGCACTCGGACAGGTCCGTGCAAGAGCATCTTCCGGATGACCAGCTTTCGCGAGCAGGCCGTCTAAGAAAAAATGAAGTAACAAAAGATAAACTATGCGCTAGCTAGCCTTACGTTCTCCATCAAGGTTTTGCCATTCCTCGTAGCCGAACTGGCTGTGCAGGACGTGGCGCTCCGTCAGCCCGCGGGACGCTATCTCTTTCCTGAGCATGATGTGGAAGGTGCCTGCCGAAAGCGCATTTTGAGTCCGATCGTACTTCATGTGTTCCTCCCACGCTTGATACGAAGTTGTTAATTCGTGAGGTTTTAGACAGCACGTTCGAAATTGAACGCACAACAAAAGTTAGATAGGCAGCTAAACCCTCCTCTTGAGTCTGAGATGCTGAAGTCTTTCTGCGAATCCAGGGTCTCATGAGCCCAGGCCAAGGCACACAGATCCTTGGACAGCCGCGCTGAAGAGAAAACGGCCCAATCAGGCAAACATGAAGTGTAAATTCGAAAAACTGTTGATAGACCCCAAACCCCCCCTACCTCAGAGACCTCAAGGCGGCGAGGATCCCAATCACGCATGGACTTCACAGGCCACGTGCGCGATGCCACCACTTCAAGCAGGCCCCCATCCGGCATGTGGAGCTTTGCCAAGGCACACAGCACATCTACAAAGGGCATCAGGCGATTGTCTGAATATTGTGGAGCCACCTGCAAGAACAGTTCCCTGACTCTGCCAATGATAGTTTCCTCCCGGCACTCCAGTAAGGACAAAGCCCATGCGATTCGAGCAACTCCTGTCAACCTGACCGTCCTGTCGACCTCGAAAACATCACATGCAAGTACTTCACGGCAGCGCTCGAGAAGAATTGGCTGAAGGTGCTCCCGAAATGGCGGCAAGGCAACCGTCTTGAGACGACCGAGTGCCCATAAGGCATTTCCTGCAGCTTGGACATGTCCTATCTTTGCAAAGGCTGCTTTCTTGCTCGCAAACAGTTCGCACGTCGCTTCGATGTTCAGGGAGGAACGTGCTTGTGGGACGTAGGTGTGCAAGGTTGCTATGGCCCAAATGGAATTGGTGACCTCCCTCTGCTGCATCTCAGCGGCAGAAGACTGAAGCCCAAAAACTGCTGCCGACAGGAGTTGCTGCAACTCTGGGGCATCGTTGCGTGCGGACGCTATTGCCCACAAGATGCTTGCCACTACCGCAGGTTGCACTGACGGATTGCGCAAGCAGTTACTCATACCTTCAAGCAAAGTTTTGAAAGCTCCTGTCTGTAGATGGGAAGCATGCAGAGTTTGTTGCAGCTGAGCAATGCGGGTGATGCCAGCAGACATGGAGATCTCGTTCAACTCCTGCGGCCTTGCGCTTCCAACTACTGCCAAAACTTCTTCAATAGACCTCGAGCTTGTAATTGCGCTGGTCATTCGCTTCTGTGCCTTCAGCAGGCCACTGTCTCGCGAGAAGGATTGCTTGGCGTCGTACAACTTTCGCTTGTGCTCTGGCCTGACTCGACACAGGGTGTTCGTAGTTGAGCGTCGAGGCGTCCAGACTCCGTGTAGGTTGCCTGCGAATGAGCCGGATGTGCATGGCCCGATGATCAAACCTTAATTGCAGGGACCGCCGCCAACAGAACAACTTATGCAGACAAAAGAAATCTGCTGCAGCCTCAATTTCGAAACTTTGCCCACGTCTTGAAACACGAGATGCACTGCGAATCACAAGGCCTGCAGGCGGCGCACTCAAACAGGGTCTAAGCTAATACCGTGCCAGGACGAAGCGTGAAACCGCACTATCCGTGGACGCCCAAACAGGCAAAGCCAGAACCCCAAACCTTGAATCCGGCTACTGAACCCCCCCTCCCAAAGAAATGCACATTTTCGTAAGATCCGAAACTTCAGGTCTTCAGCATTTACTTACCTACGAGAATTCTCACTTGCCGTCTCCGTGAGACGTACAGTTGCTGTCCATGTCTCAGTGCAGAAGGATCTCTGATGACGCCAATGATGGCAACGATCACTATGCAGCCGTTGGCAGTGTTGCAGCTGTTGCAGTTGCTGCTGTTGCTGCTTTGGCTACACTTGATGATGTTGATATGTTTGATGCTGTCGATGTTGATGCTGTCAAAGACGTGAACGCTCTTGGTGTTGGTGTTGCTGTTGTTAATGTTGTTGATGTTGTTGCTGCGGTTGTCGTTGTCATCACCGGTGTTGTTGTGGCTGCTGTTGTTGTTGCTGATGTTGTTTTTGTTTGTGCGGCTGCTGTTGTTGCTGTTAATGTTGCTGACGATGTTGTTGATTATGTTGTTGCTGTTGTTGATGATAGTGTTGATGTTGATGCTGTTGTTGTTGTTGCTGTTGTTGATGCTGTTGTTGTTGTTGTTGTTGTTGTTGTTGTTGTTGTTTGTGGTGGTGGTGGTGGTGGTGGTGGTGGTGGTGGTGGTGGTGGTGGTGGTGGTGGTGGTGGTGTTGTTGTTGTTGTTGTTGTTGTTGTTGTCGTTGCATTGGCGTGACTGCTGCTGC